TCACCGAATGGTAAGAGGCACACTGAGACTTCATGAAGTCAAATTACAAATTCATTTTCTTTGCCTAGAAGATTGTAATAATAGGTTGGGGAAAAAGTTTCTACGTATTTTGTTTGTATAAAATTGAAGAAAAATCTCTTTGGTTAAAATGTTTGTACCTGGCTGGTTTTAGTATTAATTAATACATATTATAAGACAAAAAGAAAAAGGAAAAAACACTTTCCTCTGCCATTTTTTACTTGTTTTTCTGTCCGCTAAAATGAGTGAATCTAACGAAGATTTTTAATTTGAAATCACAAAAAGGAAATTTGATACATTCTGGAAGTTTCATTACAATAATTTAAAATTAAAAATTTTGTACAACCGACTTCAATATAAATTATTAAGAATAACTCAAAAAGTATTGGACAGACCTTGCACAAATTTATATGGACCACATGAGAAGTATCAGCTTTCAAATAAAAAAAGAATCATCGAAATCGGTTCACCCAGTAAAAAGTTACGCGGTAACACACAAAAAACATACAGTCAAGTTGAGTACCGTCTCCTTTTTGAAATCTGTAGAAAAAGAGAAAAATGTGACTCAAGCCGCGAAAAAAATTGTGACGTTTATGGACCTAATGCAGTGTCAGTAAGATTAGCACAAAAACGTTTCAATCATATTCAGTCCGGGAATTTCGATGTCAGATGCAGCTCGCTCTGGTCGCCCTAATACGGATAAAGTCGATGCCATTATTTAAGAAGTGGCGCAAGATCGGCATATTAGTAGTTACGACATTGCCGAGGAATTAAGGATTTGACCCATTTGAAAAAGTCTGGCTATACAAAAAACCTCGATATTTGGGTACCACACGAGCTCACTGAAAGAAATCTAGTGAATCTTGTACTCATTTGCGATTCTCTATTGATTACATAAAGAAACCGAACCATTTTTGAAAAGATTGATCACTGGTGAGAAATAGTGGATCACCTACGACAAGAACGTGTAAAAAAGATCATGGTCAAATAAGTAAATAAGATATCGTAGTCAAGCTCCACATACTGTAGCGAAACCGGGATTAACACACAATAAGGTGATGTTGTGTGTATGGTGGTATTGGAAGGGTATCGTTTATTATGAGCCTTGACCGCCGGGCAAAACCTTCAATTCGGATCTCTACTGCCAACAACTAATGAGACTCAAGCAAGAAATTGAGAAAAAAACACGGCCGGAATTGATCAACAGAAAAGGAGTGACCTTTTATCATGATAACGCCAGACCACACACATTTTGGCCGCTCAGCAAAAATTCAGAGAGCTTGGTTGGGTGTTAATGAATCCACCGTATAGTCCTGACCTTGCATCCTGAATTTGCACCTGTTTCGGTCTCTTCAGAATTCTTTGTGTAGTGTTAGGTAACATTGAGAGGGGACTGTCAAAACTACTTGTCGCATTTTTTGATCAAAAATTCCAAGATTGCTACAGCAACGGGATTATGTCCCTATCTACAAGATGGCAACAAGTTATCGCACTAAATGGCACAACATATATTGTAATTAAATGTAATTGAACTTTGAAAAAAAAATATGTCTTGAATTTGTATATAAAATACGAAGAAAATTTTTCCCCAAACTATTACAATTGACGATGTAAATGATAAACTCGTGAAAACTGTCCAAACGGTCGGAGCTAAAATCTGAGAAACCCAAGACTTAGTTTACACGGTTAGAAGGGAGATGAAGCTGCAGTTTCAGGAAATATGACAGCTTCCTGTCATCTGAACAGACATATCTCCAAATGAATGTGGCGAGACTTACGCAGCTTTATAATATATCACTTACTTGAAGAAGCGATTGAGTCTCTTATCTTTCTCCAGTCTTCCCAATGATCTGTCTGCTTGAAAGAGCCAACAGTTGAAGTAGAAGTCCGGCTGTGGTAATGTCGTTTCCGCGATACGTAAAATTTTGAAAACCGGTGCCTAGTCCTTCAGAATCGCGCTTAAATTTTGTCATTCATGGTGGTACTACACCGGAGGAGTGAAGCACAAATGTGGTCTTGTCAAAGGACTTTCGACTTTCTTAAAGAAGAAAGTCGAAGACGCTCTATTGCGATATATATATATATATATAACCGCTTTCCCATCTAAGCCGCGACTGCGTGCTGTTTTCGAGACTCATTACGAATCGTCTCGCACGCAGACTTTATAACTTCCAAATCCCCGAACAAGCCGGTTTCCGAAAAGGCTTTAATACCCTAGACTACATACATACATACATACCCTTCGGTACAAAAGACTAAACAAAAGAGTACAATCTGTCACTCTGTCTTGCGTATGTGTACTATGAGAAAGCCATAGATTCCGTCGAAATTTGGGCGGTGCTATTATATACTCCATCGGTGCCAAGTTAGACTGTCGGTATATTGAAGTGCTGAAGGGTTTGTTTAATAGGGCTGCGGTGACTATCTGAGTACAGTACCATAGCACGAAAATTATCCAAATGCATTAAAACGGGTGATGTCATATTCCAGAAACTCTTCACAGCTGCATTTAATGACGTTTTTAAGCCATGGAACTGGTGAGGATATGATACAGGGTGGCCCATAAGTCTCTTGAAATGTAAAAAAATAATTAAAAAAAAACTAATGACATTATGAAAAAGGTTTTCATTTTGTCATAATCCTTATAAAATGGGAATTATTTTTTGAAAATTACATCATCTAAATGTAATCCGTTACGATCGCGGCACTCCTGTAAGCGACGTTTAAAATTATCCATCACTGCGTGGCAAGTAAGCTCTGTAATGTTTGCCATTTCTCTTTGGATATTTTCTTTCAGGACGTCAATTGTCCGCGGGTTGGTTTCGTACACTTTAGTCTTAAGATAACCCCATAAGAAAAAGTCCATTGGGGTCAGATCTGGACTACGTGGTGGCCAAGGAATATCTCCTCTTCGAGAGATCACTTTATTAGGGAAAAGTTGACGGACGACCGGCATAGCGACGTTAGAGGTATGGGCAGTTGCTCCATCTTGTTGAAACCAGGTCCGCGTATTGAAGCCTGGAAAATTCTGCAACTCTGGTGTAAAAAAGTCCTGGATCATAGCTACATACCGTTGTGAAGTAACAGTAAGCGCGCGGCCTCTGCCGTCCTCAAAAAAGTAAGGGCCTATAATGCCATGCGCTGACATAGTCGCCCAAACTGTCACTTTAGGGCTATGTAAGGGCTTTTGATGTTTGCGATTTGGATTTTCGCAACTCCAGTAGCGACAATTTTGCTTATTGACATGGCCGTTGATGTGAAAGTGAGCCTCATCAGAGAATAATACGTTATTAAACGAAGTAAAGCGGTTCAACATTTCATTTGCGAAATTTAGTCTGTGGATAGTGTCAGTATCTTTTAATTCCTGTACTAACTGAATCTTGTACGGGTGAAGATGTAAATCTTTCTTTAAAATTCGCTGTAACGATGTTCTGGGTAAGTTTAATGCACTGGAACGCTTACGAGTAGACTGGGTAGGATTTTCACGAATTGAGTGTTTCACTACATCGATGTTTTCTTCCGTCCGTGATGTCCTTGGTCGACCTGACCGTTGTTTATCCAACGTCGAACCACTCTCTTCGAACTTAATAACCCAGTTCTTAATCGTTTGAACACTTGGAATGTCTTTAAAGTTGCGTAAATTCCGATATTCTCGAAATTTACGCCGCGCAATGGTAGCCGAATCATTGTTTCGATAAAACTCGCGCACACAAAATGCACGGTCCGCACCGGTGAAACGCTCCATGGCGACTGAATTCCCAGAAACCGTCGGTACTCCCCCCGCACCGCGCGCGCCACTCATGCGCGCCTTTTGTATTTTATTCGAAATTTACATTTCTAACGACTTATGGGCCACCTGGTATTAAAATTAATGGCGAGTACATCACTCATCTTAGAATTTCCGACAATATGATCCTTATGACAGAATCGCTGCAGGACCGCAGCACTATGCTCAACGATCTCAATTATTGTCCCCAACGAATAGGATCTAAAATTAACATGGACAAAACAAAGGTCAAAAAATGTGTAACGTGTAAGTCATACCTATGTTTAGTTGAGAGCATTACGCTCGTAGTTCTTGACGTGTATGTTTACCTAGGACAAACTACTCACTAGGTAAATCTAACTTCGTGAGGTCAATCGACGGATTCTATTCGGCTGTGCAGCGTTCGGAAGACAACGACACATCTGTGCTGCTACCGTGTGTCGCCAGTAATGTCTTATAAATCTGACACGTCTTCACGTCTGCTGGTCGTAAGCTCAAGAATTGCTCTGCGTAATAGACTTCGAAATGAGGTTATATATAATACTAGTTGGCCAGGCAGACGTTGTTCTGCCCTTTTCGACGACCCTTCATATAAAAAATCCTTAAATCCGTAATAAAAAATATTGAGTGTCACTTATCAGGATAAAAATTATCCTATCTCTCAAGTTAGACCAAAGTGCACAGAGTATGCAAAATTTCATTGAAATCAGTAGTTTAGGAGTTCATCGCGGACAAACAACGTGACCCGTAATTTTTATATATAAAGATTATGCCACTAAAAGTAAATGTAACAAAAACACCAAATAATAAGTAAGCATGAATTATCTTTATAGTGGCATAATATTAATCAAGCTATTTTTATTTATTTCCAAAAATAAAAGAAATACTTCGAGGAAAACGTTTTATGGACACCGAGGAAGCAGTGGCTGTGTTTCAAAATGCCATCCAAGAGACCCCTAAGGACGAGTGGGCAAAGTGCTTTTCTCAGTGGTTCCATCGGATGCAGCAATGTATTGATGTAAATGGACACTATTTTGAAAAGATATAATAAAACTAATAACTTGCTAGTTTGTTCAGTTCATGATTTTCTAAGAACTTTCAGTGTCACCCTCGTATATGAATTATGGGGATGAAAATATATCTTAAAACTGATATCATATAATTACAAACTTATAAGAAATACAAGTTTTCTTAATTCTATATGCTTTTGTTACAGGTATCATAGGGCTACTAGGTGTTTGCGGGTTTGGAGCCTATAAATTTAAAACGAGAGGTGAAATGAGCACAAGTGTATTTCTAATGCAACTTCGTGTAGCTGCCCAGGGCACAGTTGTGTCAGCACTAACCTTAGGTTTAGCTTATTCATTAGCCAAAAAACATTTATTTAATGATGAAAAAAAAGATTAATAACAGTTATGTTGTTTCTCTAGGAAAAATTCTTAAATCAGAATCGATAGCTTAATTTGGCTACCTCATAAATAATCTCACAAAATCATAAATTATTTCTTAAAAAAAGGAAACATGAACTAATAATATAGTTTATTTTTGTAGTATTATTTAAAAAATGACTATTTAATTATTAGGGTCTGTAATTATTTTATGTGTATTAATTTAGTTAAATAGGAGCTAAGCTCTGCTTCTGTGATCACTAGTGTAAACCATGGAGTGTAGACTCCATAATAAAAACTAAAAAAAATATGTTTTATTTTCTTCATAATTGAGCCTTAGAGGACTGGTTTATGATATTTGTGATGTAAATGCCACATGCATTATAATTTATAACATATTTATTCTTAAGAATTAAAAAATCATTAAAGCATTCATGATATAAGTAGAAAGTTTTTTTTATTTCACACAATTAACCGGTTCAGTGCGGGTGACACGCCAGGCGTGCCATCGATTACTTTTGTGTGGCGTATGACACGCGAGTCGTGTCTTTTTTTAAATCGTTATAACTCGCTCAAATTGCTTTTTTGGAAAATTTATCTAGAACAAAATATTCGTTCTGAAAAAAAAAGGTTGTCAACCCTTAAAAATTTGAAATTTTTAGGGGTTGACAACCTTTTTTTAACGTGTACATGGTACTATTTTTACTTTGTGGGTTTTTCATGTTATGGAAAAATTGTCTAATAAGTAACAAATAATAGCACTCATTGCGATCGCTCACAAACTCAAATTGTAAACAAATTTCTGGAAAACAAGTCTCCTGTTAAAAAAAACAATGCGTTTGTCTTATTGTTTAATTTTGCTTAAAATGGTTGAACTGCCGTCTTATTACTATCATATGGCCGAATAGACCTACGAAGTACCATGTGCTCTTGTGATATGGTATAAGGTTTATTTTTGCTTGAAACATTTCGAAACCGTTCATGCATAAAAAAAGTTCGCTACTAAATAGTCTTTTGTGAATCCGCCGCCGTATAGCGCCGGCGTTTTTTTCCTTTTGAAAACACTTGTTTTGCTATTCTTACTAATTAGACGTTTTCAGATCGACTTTACTTTTACATTTGTATAACATTAAATAATATTTAACATTTGATAATATCAATGAATGATATACCTTTTTTTTTTCAAATTAAGGTTCTTCATTGTTTGATATTTACAAATGTTATTATTAGGTGAAAATTTAATTTAATAAACACCAAGGTTTCCAGAGTGATTTAGCTGTACCTACTTATATAAATGATTTTTTTATAACAACAAAAATAGTACAAAAGGTTTGTAATCTCTTCATAAAAAAGTCACTTTCTCTCAATTTCAAAGAAAACGCGTTTAAAAACACGTAGTTACCCACTAAAAACAAATATCCTTCCATTTGTAACTTATGTTTGATGTCAAATAAACTTAATTAGGTCTAAACAAGTAAATAAAGCATAAAAAAGAACATTACTTTTACACATGGCGGATGGCACAATAGGCGTGTCATTTTTGTCTGTGGCGCTTGACACGCCCGGTGTGTCATGAAATATTTGTTCGCCGCCACAGCTAAAAGTTGTCGAAAATTGGTGCCGCAACGAATCGGTTAAGTTTTAATTGATCGTTAAGTTTGAAGCCGACATAACACGGAATATTATTAACTTGTGGAAAAGCTATAATTTCTTGTAGAACCAACGGACGTGCGACGTAATAATAATACCTTTGATATCGATGACGAAGTGCCAATATCTCATATCTTAAATATGAAAGTTTTACAGGAAGCGAAAAAAACTTCTCATAATTTTATTTTAATTTTAATTTTGATTTTATTTGATAAATTCACTTTATTTTTGAATGTAAATACGGCCTGTTAATTGTTTTTTCCTGTAAAACCAGTATTTACTAAAATATTTATACATAGGAGGTATTGGTTTTTGTTTAATTACATTTTGGTAAATCGAGAGGATAATAGGAGCAAATAATAAAAGTAAAATAATTTAAATACGTAGCTTTTTATTACAAATGAAAGAAAATTTACAAAAAAATATACCTATTTCAAGTGTTTTTAATGTCTTGGTGTTCTAAAGTGCTTATTTGGATATTATTATATGGATAAAACAAGAAAAAAATTAGTACATAGGTTTTTTTCAAAGTTCAATTACATTTAATTACAATACGAGGGCTGCACTAAAAGTATCGGGAATGAAATATTTCCACTGTTCCTGTCATATTAAAATCTTTTTAATTGAAAAGTCCTTGGTTTTTTAAAATTGAATACCATTTATTTTAATTTAAAAAAAGATTCTCGGTCTTGTCACAAGGTTTTGTCAAACTTGTTTAGCCGTTGAGAAAATGGAATTGATTCGAGAAAATTCAAGAGCGATGATTTATTATGACTCGAAGTGGTTTAACACAAAAACAGTGTGTTGACCGGATGATTTCTCCATTTGGTGATGAAGCCCCATCCAAAACCACAATTTATCGCTGGTTTGCTGAATTTCAACGTGGACGTGTCAAGCTCAGTGATGATCCCCGTCAAGGTCGTCCAAAAACTGCAGTCACCCAAGAAAACGTTGATGCTGTGCGTAAGGTGATTGAGGAAGATCGACATGTGACATACCGCGAAATTCAGGCAACTTTAGGCAACGAAAACCAGTGACGAGTTTGGGTGTTCGAAAATGAGTTAAAGCCAACAAAAATTGTTCGTTCACGGAGTGTTGCAAAAAAAATGGTGGCCACGTTGTCTCCAAAACCGGCCATGTTATGACTATTCCTCTTGAGGGACAAAGAACAGTTAATGCAGAATGGTATGCTAGCATTTGTTTGCCACAGGTCGTTTCTGAACTCCGTAAAGAGAACTGCAACCGCCGCATCATCCTCCATCACGACAATGCGAGTTCTCACACCGCACACAGAACAAAAGAGCTTTTAGAGCAAGAAAACATAAAATTATTAGACCATCCGCCGTACCATCCCGACCTAAGCCTTAATGATTTCTATACTTTCCCTAAAATCTATACATATAATAAAACTGTAAATAGCAGATGTCTGTACATTTTATATTTTTGTAATAAAAGTGATTGAGGGGTACTAAAAATAAGTAATTAAATACATTTCTACCATTTTTAGAATTTTCTGTCTGTCTGTCTGTCTGTCTGTTTGTTTGTTAACGTATCACGTTTAAAGTACTAATTTATATCATAAGAATTGTTAAGGAAATTCTAAAGTGTACCTTCGGGTTACATTTAGTCTTTATTTCATTAAAATCGGTTCATTCCATCAAAAGTTATGATAAATATTCTGAAGTATGGGTAGGGAATTTGCTCAACGGTGGCTTTGTTGAGTCATCAAGTTGATGTTAGCAGCGCCATCTCTCTTTAATTAAATATATACATATAATAAAAATGATGATGACTGTTGTGTCTCTTTCTGTACATTGTATATATATTTTGGTGACTAAAATCATTATGGGGAACTAAAAATAATTAAATAAGTACATTTTTATAATTTTTAGAATTGTCTGTCTGTCTGTTTGTCTGTTTTTATATGAATGCATCACGTCTAAAGTAAACATCTTTTTTTTTTCAAAGAAATCGTTAAGAAAATCATAAAGCGTATCTTCAAGTTACATTTAATCTTTGTTTTATTAAAATTGGTTAATTCTATCGAAAGTAATGATTATTATTTTAAAATGTAGGTTCGAATTTGTTCAATGGCGCCATAAAAATCTCAGAAATAGTAATAAAAAGATTTGTGTGTAAAAAAAAACGTTCCATAATAATTAATATATTTATACTTAAAACATAAAAAGAGATTTAAAAAAGGATGTTTTCTCACACAAAGGACGTAATAGATGGAGTTGTACAAATTACAAACTTTCTGATTTGCTGTGTTGAGATTTTTCGCCGATGAATCGTATTGAGACTTACTGAAGAAATTTGTATCTATCGAAGCCATACAACGGAACCCGAACAAAAATAACAAAATTGCAACGAAATGTCGTGATATTTTATTTATAATATACGCAAAATCAGTACTGCTATTTTAGCGCTTTGGGAACTAGATTTAGCGCTTTTTTGGAATGTATAGCGCGCATTTCGAAATTTTAGCACCTAGCACTTAATCCAGCGCTTTTTGGTGTATTTAGCACACATTTCAAAATTGTAGCGACTAGCGGGTTATTAACTCTTTTATAGCAGCACTGTTAGTCCACATTACCGATAATAATAATAATGACCTTTATTATTTTTTTTCCCACAAATAGTACATTGCAGTTATCTTTTTCAAACATATTTTTTCCACAAAACAAAGAGCATGGGAGACGAGTCCAAACTAGGATACCCTGTGCTATGGATCTCCCGGCTTCCCCTTTAGGATGATCAACTTGATTTTTTTATCGACAACTATAAGCGGGGAAATCCTCTTCATTAAAGTTTTCGTTCATGGTTTTGGCAACGCATTTATTTTGCTTTATTCAGTTTTAGTCAGTTGTTTAGAGCACAGCTAGGTTAAAAGTTACTTAAAGTAGTACTAACTACTGTTGACAGCAATTGCCATAATTATAAGTCGATGTCCTGCGAAGTATTGATACATCAAAAAATATTGCCAGAAAAAAACTTAATGTTGTTTTCTTTATTATGATTATTATGATTTCTTTAGTATTTTCTTGAATTATAAATTATAATAAAAAACACAAACTTTGTTTGTAGTTAATTTAGCGCGAAATCTAGGGCTTTTTTAAAGCGCTGTTTTCATGAAATCTAGCGCTTTTTGTGTTGTCCTAGCGCTGAATGAGTTTTTTTGATCTGGCTGCACTGCCAAAAAACCCTCTATTAAGAAGTAACTTTCCTTTCAGTTTTAAGCGCGTTCAGTTCCCAGTTACAGTCAGCGTGTGTTATGCGATGACCGTAAATAAAGCGCAAGCTCAAAATTTACGCGTTGTAAGAGTGGACCTCAGTACTGACTGTTTTGCACATGGCCCCAACTCTATG